TTTTTTTTTTGGTGTTCCAGATCTGCAGCCAGTTGGTTTTCTTCCCACGCTTACCCCCAAAAACCCCCCGGCTCACTTTAACCAGCCGACGCCCGGACAGCCCAGACACCCTCACACGCTCCCCACAGCCCGCGCGGCCCACCCAGCCCCCGCCGCCATCTTTCCCCGCCCCCGAGCGCCCCATCTTTCCCCCCCCCCCGAGCGCCGCCATGATGCGTGCTGCATTGTTCCTCGCTACGGCTCCCAGCGAGCGCTCCGCGGTGCGCGCTGCGGTTCGGTCCGCCCTTGGCGGCCGGTTGGCGGCGGGGAAGCCATGTTCTACAGCAGCACGCAACGGCGGTACTGGACCTTCCGAAGCGAGGAGGATCTGACGCGGAGCCGGGCCGATGCCAACCGAAAATTTCGCAGCAAAGCCGTGGCCGGCGGGAAGGTGCGGCGCGGGGGGGGGAGGGGACGGGCTGGGCCGCCTCTGCTGGGCCGCCGGGGGAGAGGGGCGGCTCCGGGCCGGGCCTCTTCGGATCGGCGTCTTTCCCCCAGGTGCAGCAGGCTGACTCCTTCCTGCTGGAGGCCCACGAGGAGCTGGCGATATGCAAGTACTACGAGAAGAGGCTGCTGGATTTCTGCGCCGTCTTCAAGCCTGCCATGCCGCGCTCTGTAGTGGTAAGCAGAAGCGGTCCGTCGCGAGGCGCTCCCTGCTTCCTCGCGGCTCTGCCAAAGCGTGGTTTCCTTAGTGGTCCTGCGGGAGTTGAACCCGGTGGGCCTGCCTCCGGTTTGGTTTGGTTTGGAAGGGCTCTCACAGCCCGTCCGGCCCTCCCCCCCCGCTGTGGGAGGGGGCTGCCCCCACAGCTCAGGCTGCACAGGGCCCCTCCGCCCTGGTCCTGAGCGGCTCCCGGTGCGGCTGTGCCAGGGCCTCACTGTCCTCTCGGTGAAAAATTGAGTTGTTCAGTAACTTGAGTGCATTGGGAGGGAGGAAGGAGGCTTACAGCTGAAGCAGGGAGTTGAATCGTGCTTCACTTTCCAGCTTGTTGTTCAGAAGCGTCCCTCCGGTAGTCCCTCTTTTTGGCTGCTGTGGTGAATAACAAAAACAGTGAGCGTCTTGTCTGCATGCGCTTTGGCCGTGTCACAGTAGTAGTATGTGAACCCCATCCTTACATTTGAGAATTGGGCCCCGTGAGGTGCATGTGCTGAGTCTAGCTTCGCTAGAAAGAGGCTGGAAATACTTGATCTCTGCTGATGGAGTTTACATTAACTTGGAAACTTGGCACTGACAGACTGAAGCATTTAATTTTAATATGAGAAGAGATTGTAATGAAGGTATTCTAGACTGTTTGCATATTGTTCTTGAATAAACATCTAAAAATTGTGTAAAACTGCTGTTTTTGCATGCATAAATGAATTACACTTTGAATGACATGGCATTCTGTGAATTTTAGTGTGCTTGTGTATCTTGTATGACAGTAGTATGCATTCAGACTTTCTCTGTTTTATGATTTTTATTATTATTGTTTCTTAATCCATTTTTACTTCTGTGTTTAACTCTTCCCTTCTCTTTTTAAAATTTAAGGGAACAGCTTGCATGTATTTCAAACGTTTTTATCTCAATAACTCAGTGATGGAGTATCATCCACGGATAATAATGTGAGTTTTCAACACATTGTGAGTTACTGTACCAGTCAGGACAATAGAAGTATTACTTTATTTGTTAAGATATGAACAAAATAGGAAAGGAAATTGGAGACCTTAAATGCAAAAAGTGTGGTTACTTTCCATTTCCACTTGGAAAAGTTTATTATGTTCTTAATATAGTACTTCAAAAAATTTTGAAATAATAATAAAGCTGCACAGAACTTTTGATAAAAGGATGAATGCTGCATGTATTAATTGCTTGCTTTTTTTTCTTTCTCCCAAACTACTCAAGGCTAACATGTGCATTCTTAGCCTGTAAAGTAGATGAGTTTAACGTGTCCAGCGCTCAATTTGTTGGTAACCTTCGAGAAAGCCTTCTTGGGCAAGAAAAAGCTCTTGAACAGATACTGGAATATGAACTGCTGCTTATTCAGCAGTTGAACTTCCATCTTATTGTACACAATCCATACAGACCGTTTGAGGGAATTCTAATTGATTTGAAGGTAATGCCGTTTGATCTGCTATGTTCTTCATATTTTAATGTAATACAAATACGGATTTTATGCTTTTGTTTCTGTGCTCATAAAGGTGTAGATTCTAAAGTGATAGGCAGAAACTATCTGAAAGGAGGTGTGTTTTGTTGTGGTCTTTTAATATTTTTGGAATGAGATGCCTTGTCACTCTTCTGCTTTACAGAAAATTGTTGACTTTTGTGTGATGAGCTCACTAACTGTAACAGGAATAGCTGCTTAACTTTCCTAAATATTTCCTAGACTCGGTACCCACTGCTGGAAAATCCTGAAGTTTTAAGGAAAACAGCTGATGACTTCCTCAATCGAGTGGCTCTGACAGATGCGTATCTGCTCTTCACTCCCTCACAGATAGCTCTTGCTGCTATAGTATCTAGTGCTTCAAGAGCGGGAATTAATATAGAAAGGTAGTCTTTCATTTTCTTTGAAAGTTTTGTTTGTGTCTTCTGTAGAATTGTTTTGCTCTAAACATTCTTGGCTAGTACAAATATGTATTTATTTATAGTTAACAATCTGCTACATTCTTTAAGTGTGCTTCAAAACTAAAACAATAATGATAATGTTTTAATCCCGAAGACTGAAGTCAAGAAGCTGGAAATACAATAGGAAATGAGAGTATGAAATACATGCAGAATCGTTGAAAGAAAAAAAATAAGGTTTTTAAGATTTCAGAGATGTCTAAGGTTGTGGGGTCAAATAATATTCTGAACTGATGGCTGATAAGAACGCAGAAACTGTAAGTGATGTACTTGAGCTTTGAGTTTCCCTGGAAGTAGACTAATGTTAAGACACTGTTCTTCTGAGTGGCCTGTCTACTACTTGCAAAGCTGTGATGAAATGCTTTGATACTGTTGCTGAAAGACATAATTTATTTTGCTTGAGGACTGAAGTGACCTTTTTTCTTTAGAAATACAATTACATTGACTGTATTTGGATTTTTATAACCACATGATACTCTATTTGAGTGTTTTGCATCAAGAGTACAATGCTGCAGTCACGAGGGCTGATAATAAAGTAAAACAATTCTGTTTAACTTCTAGATTATTAATTCTAAATAACTTATTTTCCAACTGCCCTGTACAAATGACAGGTTTAGGTTAGGATAGAGTTTTGGAGGTTTGAAAATCTCTTCCTCCTACAGTGTCAGTGTTTGTATTCAAAAAGTTACAAATTCAGAAAAAAACCTGCAACTGTGCTCTGGCAAATATTGGGTTCAGTTACGGGGTCAGCACAAAAATGTATTTAAAGTTGCACAAGAGTAGGTGTTATAAACTGGGCAGATCTCAGCTTACAAAGTTACTGTCTTCATGGTGGCTGGTGAATCAGAGAGCTGTGAGCTGCAACTGATAGAGCTGAATAAATTGTAACTTTGCACAGACTGAGCCCTGAATTTTATCTACGGTTTTGTTTCCCAGCAAGGAAAAAAAAAAAAAGTGATGTTGGCAAAGATTCCTGCTCATGTATTTTGTGGTTTTGGCCAGGTGGTGTGTGCGTCTTATTTTTTTTCTTGTTTTATTTTGCTTTAAGGTTTGGAAGCACAAGTGAGAAAGCAAATGCTAAAGCTAAAAGTGAAATCACTCCAAATTTCATGTTTTTACTCAGAAGCCGTGTAGAATATGTTCAGTATTGTCTCGTTACTTAAGTGCACTTCTGAGGAAACTTAAATTCCTTTTTCTTTAACACTGGAATGTGATAAATACTTCTGTAATAGTGTTCCTCTGCTATGTTGTGTTTCTTACTAAAAGGAAGTTTGAATCTGAGAGGACGGTGCACATAGACTCTGAGCGCTTGGGATTTGTTTTCAGTGGTCAAACTCACTGCCAGAAGAAGCAGTTTCATCTTGCAAGCTTTCCTGTCAGTTGATCTGCACGAAGAGAGCTCTTCTGTAGCATTTGCTTTGCCAGTAGTCATACTGGCATATATATATATAGCTGATAGTAGTGTGATACTTCATAGAATCATGTAAATAAAGCCTTACTTAATTTGTTTAATTCTTTAAACAAGAATTCCTTACTTAAGTTGTTTAATTCTGTAGTGCCAGTACCTTTGGTTCTTTATGTGGTTAGGAAATATTTTTGTCAAGTTCTTGGTAGAAGAATAATGCTGCAAGTGAACAACTTGCTTTTTTATCACTTTATAGCACTTGTGCAACAGAAGTGTTTTCATCAAATTGAATTATATAGCTTTAGCAGATAGAAATTACAAATAATGCATTTTATTAAGTAAAGCTAGCTGTTTCAAATTGTTACAGCAGTTTGTTTTAAGAGTTTATTCTTTTGTTTTGTTTTGCAGTTATTTATCAGAGTGTTTTATGCTGAAAGAAAACAAAACATTCTTGGCCAAAATACTGGAGGGCATGAAAAGTAAGTAAATATTTAAATAAGTATATATGAAAAAAATGCATCTCTGAAGAGGAAAAAAAAAAAGAAAAAAAAATCAACCCCAAACCTTTTTCACTTAAAGCTTTTGCTTTTTGAAAAAAAGTGTACTTCAAATGGCTTTCTTCTCATCAAGGTTTGCAGAAGATAATTAAAACATTGGCAATAGGGTGAACTTCCTACTTGATGGATGCAGGGGGGAAAGGCACTCAGTTACCTTTGATGTTAAACAAATGAAATTAAAATAGCAGAGGACCTGGTGATTCTCAAATCATGTATGTTGTAATGAATTGTTAGTAACTGATTTACTTTCAAAAGTGAGAAATCTGTTTTGGGCACTAGGTAATGTTTTTGTGTAAGTCTTGGGTGAATAGCTTTTTTCCATTCACTGACTTGAGAGTATAGCTTTTGACAAAAGCCTGCAGATAACTGCTTCTACCACTAGAGGATGACTTGTTAGCTAAGTGATAAGTGATCTGCCAGGATTTGTAACTCACTTTATTTTGTAGCCATAAAGATAGTTCAAAAGCTTAGGTTTGCTTATGCAAAACAAAGTAAGTACATTATATAAAACACCAAGAATGGTAGCATGGTTTGGTTTAGTTAGGACAGTGGAAGTGGATTATTACCTTTTTTAATTGACAGGTTTGGAGTAATGGAATAGATGGAATTTTACGTTATCACTTCTCTTAATATTCTAAGCTAATGCATGTATTTAGAATGGGAGAGTGTTAGTATTTAAAAATAAAAATCCAGCCCATTAAGTAGGCCAATTTCAGTAGTGAATACAAGTCACCAAGGTCTACAGTTCAATTTATAAATTCAGTTGAATTTATAATGCTTGAGGTGTTTTCCCCTCTCTCTTCTTGCTGAGTAAAAAAAAAAAAACCAAAAAAGCTCATTTAATCTTCTGGTTTCTGTTAGTAAAACGCAGAGGGAACTTTGGGATCACATAACTTTCACTTGCAGTGCTGTGGAAGATAGCTTTACCCTAGAGGCTGCTCTTCTGCAAACACAGGATGACAAGCAAAACGTTTTGAAGCAGCGGAGGTGCTAAGTCTGTAGATAACTTGTTTTACATAGAAGTGGTGGTAGAGGAGGTCATGTTTCCTCTGTAGCAGTTGTAAGTTTGATTTTCTTTCTCGCAAGACAAACTTTTTTAAGAATAAGGTTCAGTGCTGAATATAAAAATTGCCTATTTTGAAACTTGCTAGCAGAGCAGTGTGAATTCTGTAATTTCCTTTGAAATCCAAACCTGTGATGCTGACAACCTGTTTAATGTAGTTCTCAATTCTGAGCTTCTGGTGTATCTTGATGTTATTTAGAATGAAACCACTGTGGTAAGATGATAGTCAAGTCATTTGTATGTAATCTTGGATTCTCCAAAGTTGGAGTGCTCTGTTTAGATGGAAAGTTTCATAAGCAAATGTTTTGTGAGCTGGAGAAGTCAGTACCTGGGATACCTACCGCTTGCTGTGAAAAATACAAGGACTTTATTTGGAAAGCTCTCTGTTTCATCTGTTGTAATACTTGCCTTATAGCTTGTTGAAGTCTGTTTTAGAAAATAAGTAACAATATTTTCAAAATCTAGCAGAAGTTTGAGAGAAAGAAGATGAAACAATATTTGAAGCATAGATACAAGGGATAAGCCATGAAAATAGCCACACTACTGATTGATACTGACATTGTGTAGTTCAGTGTATGAAACAGGAGTTACCTAATTTGCTTAGAGATGTGTTGTTGCCACTGCAGGCATGAAAAATCTTATAAAGAAGTATGAACTTCCAAGACCTGAAGAGATTGCAACTCTAAAACAGAAGTTAGAGAAGTGTCACAGCCCGGAGCTTTCACTTAACGCTAACATGTAAGTAGATACTACTCTGTAATGTGTTATCCCTCTTTCTCCTTCCCTTCCCTATTTTTCCTTCTCTTAAAAAAAAACAAGAACAACAACAAAAACCCTAATGCTGTGGAAACATTACTTCACACTGGTCTTGCAGTAAATGAAAATGAAAACATGTTAACATAATGTAAGAGTTCAGTTTCTTGGTTCAAAGAGTTCAAATTCTTGGTTCTCAGGTTCAGGTAGTTAAACATTGCTTAAATACATTCTATGCTGATTTGCATTGCAGGCCCTAGTGGTGCTTATTTTTTAACACAAAACTGGAATCCTGAGTGGCTTCTAAATATGCTCTCATATGTCTTGAGGATCATGGTCTTCAGAATTATGTGAATTCTGTAAGGAGTTAATGCTTTCTTAAGAATGATGTTGCAGGTAAATGACTTGCTAACATTTTCTATCTGCTCTTTTCATTTTAGAACCCATTGTGAACTTCTAGTAGGCTGTTATTTTGGATTTTGATAGCTTTTTTCTTTAATGTGACAAATTTGTTCATAAACTAATCTAAAATATTGCAGCCAGATAATGAGTCTGACTCTAAAAGTAATTAAAGCTTGTTTTTTTGGGGCTTAGGAAGAAGAGGAAGATTGGTGAAGACAATGAATATAATTCAAAAAAGCCTAAAATGGACGAGGTCAGTTAATGTATTGTACAGGTAATTACTTTTTCACTCAGTAATAACTGGCAAAACGGCAGATTGTTGAGACAAACTTCTGCCTCTCATGTTGTTACAAAAGTTGCTCAGAATATTTTTCAAGTTTTTCAAACGTCTAATGTAAATCTCCCTTCTCTTATTTATAAACCATTTCCTCTCGTCCTATCACTACCAGACCAATTAAAGTCCGTCTCCCTCATGATTATAAGCTAATTTAAAGTACTGGAAAGCCATGATGAGGTCTCCCCCGTGTCATCTTTTCTCTAGGCTGGACTAGCCTAGCCCTCTCAAGTTGTCTTCCTAGGAGAGGTGCTCCAGCCTTTCTTGTGCTCAGGACCCCAGGCCTGGACGTGTGGTACTCTAGATGAGTAGGCCATTCCAATGGCCGTCTGTGATGGGAGTGATGTCATGAGTAGATGAAGGGCAATTGATGTCCTCTACCTGCACTTATGGGAAGTCTGACATCATCCCACAGTTCATTCTTATTTCTAACTTGGAAAGATACAGATTTGAAGGGTGGGTTTTTGGATGTATAAAGAACTTGTTGGATGCTCTTTCAGGGTACCTTTAGATCTGAGAGATGGGATGTCTGAGGAGCAGATGCAAGCAAATTGCACTTAGAGCAGCACAGAGGATTATAGGTTTAATTCAACATAACACACACTCATACACACAGGCATCCATTTTAGATAATGCCCATAAGCAGGAAGCAGAAACTCCCTAAGCAAGTGCAATCACTATACTTAGTGTCCCCTGAGAGATAGCAAAGTGCTGAAAGAAGAGAGAAGGAACATGCTGGTAGTAATCTCGATAGGTAGTGCCAGCAAGGCGTCCCCAGCTTCGATGTGCACTTCTCTCTCCCCTACTACAGCCTCTCTCCTGCTTTTATTCTCCTCAGGGTTTGCATGTTTTTTTTTCCACCTGCACACTGTACCTGTGTGGCCAGTGCATGATACAGAGCCTAAGTGGAATACCTGCTTGCAAAATAGTTACAAGCATGGCATGCAGGCTCTTGTTTTTTGGTCTTGGAAATACATAGCTTATGGTGGTGATTGTGTTAAAAAATAGTGTTTTGTATCAAACAGCATTATTGTATCTTATCAAACAGCTCTTTGTATCTTTTGTAGTTTCCATGGAAATAAATGGGAGGCGTTATTTTCAGAGCTGCCTACATTCATGTGATGTAGGACTTGAAAAAATTTGTATTTCTACTTGGAGCTTGGTCTTACATGTTAACTAAGAATGACATTGTTTCTTGCTGGTTGTCAGGAGCAAGAAGGTTGTCAGTATGCAAGAAGGGTATTGTCAGTCATTAACGTGCTGCTTTTGCACTAGTGTTTTGGCAGAAATACATCCCTCTCAAGAAGACAAAGTGTGTGTTCTAAAATAATTTTAAACGTGCTGTTTAAGTCATTTACTTGCAATAGGCACAGTGTAGAGATTAATGTGAAGTTGGTTGTATTACTTGAACTCTCCTTAAGCAGCATACATAAAAGATATTACTGTTACTACATGCAGCACTATCATGTGCACAGTTTTGTATTGCTTGGTCACCTTACTGTAAAAAGACACTGTTGTTTTCCTTCCCTTAGGAAGAATGGACCGATGAAGACCTTGGGGACTTGTGAAGCCTATTCCCGTGCTTACTGTTCAGTGACACACGTGAACCTGCTTACTGAAGGTTTTTTAGACCTGTTTTTTAGACCTGTTTTTTAGAACCATGAGTTATTTTTTTATTACTTAATTTCTTTGCATTAAAACATTTATTTTAAATTTTAGTTAATTGTACCTCCATTTAAAAACCTCTCATCATCCAGGGTCAGTAAGAAGTATTCAAGTTTTGGTTTAGGAGCACTTTCAGATGCAACTTGAGAATTGGCTTATAGCACAGCAGTACCTAATGTCAATTCTGGCATTTAGCAGAGTCGTTAAATACATGCACAACACAGATCTGCTAATAAATGCTTAAGTATTTGAGAGCAAGATGTGCTGCTGCCCTCTTCTCAGGCTTGCCACTGAAACTGCTAGAAGAACGCAACCTTGCTCATAACATTTTTTTTTTGTATTTGAGAAGCTCTTCTCAAGTGTACTAAGGGCTGCAGCCACATCAATTATCATACTAAAAGTATGGTTTGTGGTTTTGTGACTTGTCTCTTACTCTATTTCCTCTTCCTGCGGCTATGCTCTCAGACTAGGTTGCTCTTACTAACCTTGTTTGGGGCACCCCACCAAAATAATTGAAAAGATCTTCTGGTGTAGTTTTGCTGTTTCTAAATGTAAGGCAAACTACTTCTTTTTCATATGCTGGTTTCGGGAACTGCATGTGTTCTAATACATTTACCTAAATGTAACTCTGGGCTTTTCCTAGATTTATTTTCATTGTTGTTGTTTTTTTTTTATTAATATAAACAGATGCTAATCTGTTCTTCAGAGTTGTTTTAACAGTTTAACTGTGTTATACTGCTAATACCCAGCCAAGCACATTTTAAAAATGACCTACTCTAGACAGTATGCTTTTGACAATTCATTCTTCAGTAACAGTGGCAAAGCTGCTTTTCTTCCCTGACTGCTCAACCTATCTTAGCTTTACCTCAGAAGGCGTCACCATTTACACAGTATTTAGTAGCTAAAGGAAGAGTGATTTAACTGAAACACCTTTTATTGGGCCATCCTTAGTATGTTCTGAACTAGCTGTAACCTGCTAGCAGAGCATTTAAAAAAAAAGTTATAAACTGGCCCTGTGGCTTCTGTATTTTAATTAATTACTTCACTGTGTTATATAAGCAGGAAAGCCTAGTAGTGAAGAAAACAGTGTCGTTACTTCATTTTTCCTATGAGCTGCAATTTAAAATGGACTTGACCAGACCTTACTATGTTCTGAGGCTTGTGCTCCTGACTGTTTGCCAGCTTTGTTGCCCTTTCTTGGGCATACTCATTGCCTCAGTATCTTTCTTGTAGTGAGGGGCCCAAAAATGAGGAACACAGTACTTGAGTTGCAGCCTTACCTGTGTTGAATATGGGTAACAATCACCTCTGCTCCTGCTAGCTACAATATTTCAGGATATTCAGGATGCTGCTGGCCTTTTTGCTGTCTGGGCACTGCTGGCTTGTGTTCAGCTGGCTATCAGCACTCCCAGATTCTTCTCCACTCTACAGCTTTCCAGCCACTCTGCCCTAAGCCTGTAGCTTTGCATGGGGTTGTTGTGACCAAAGTGCAGGACCTAATAGTCTTGTTGAACCTCTTAGAGCTGGCCACAGCCCATCAATCCAGCCTGACCAGAATCACTGTACAGGGACTCCCTACTTTACTCCAACTTTGTGTCATCTGCAGACATACTAAGGATGTGCTCAATCCCTCATTCAGGTCATCGATAAAGATTTTAAACAGGACAGGCCCCTAATTCTCATCCCTGGGAAGCACCACTCATGACTGGTCTCTAAATAGATTTAACTCCATTCACATTGCCCTCTGGGCCCAGCCATCCAGCCAGTTCTGTGTGAGGCACAGGGTGTATCTGTCCAGGCCAAGGGCTGTCAGCTTCTCCAGCATCAAAGGCTTTGCTGAAGTCTGGGTAAACCACATCAGAAGCCTTTCCCTTATTCACCAGGTGGGTCACTCAGTCATAGAAGGTGATCAGATTTGGCAAGCAGAACCTGCCTTTCATGAACCCATGCTAGCTGGGCCTGATCCCCTACTTGTCCCACGCATGCTGTAGGATAGCAGTCAAGAGTGCCTGCTCTGAGGTCAGGCTAACAGGCAGCTAGAAAGCAATCGGAGATTTTGAGAACATATAAGGAAGTGTGTCACAGCAGAGACTCAGATGAAGTTCTTACACATTAGAAAGTAAAAGCAAAATGTTTAATAGACAGGAAATGCTGTGCAATACCTTAACAGCTGCATTTCTATTACACAGAAGAGTTATGTGATTATCTCATTAGTCCTGCCAGTGACTCTCAGCATCTTATCAGATCAGTCCCAAAAGTTGCTGTGAATGAGGAATGCAGAAACACACTCTGAGCCCACTCAGAGGTACATACTGAATATTTTTCCTTTCCCTTACTCAAATCCTAGCTTCTGTCTGTTATACTGCATACCAGTATGGTAGTACTGTTCTGAGGATTCATATTAAACGCTAAAGTGGTGCTACAGAATTAAAGAGACAGTGGGTACACTTCAAAGTACAATCATGTATGCAGACAGGAGAAAAAAATCCCACAGCAGCCAAAGTTAGCCAGTTTTCATAGAGTTGATCTGCAGCTTGATTTATTTTAAAAACTTACTTTTCATGTATAAAAATAAGATTCACGGTAGACTTACAGTACACAAAAGACCAACCAATACATATTTTATAAAATGGTTTAATGAATGCATGCATGTCTGATACAATGATCAATAAATTTACTGAATTCAAATTATTTACTGTTGTAAACATTTTACAAAAGCATTGTGATTTATCTGGATATACAGTCCTTGATGGAAGAACTATTTCAGACTGAATCAGTGGCACATCAAAAAATAAAGCTGACGAGATCCATTCTGCATATTCTCTTTTAACATGATTCCAGCAAGAGAAACAGTATGGTATAAAAGTGTACAGTAAAGATTGTTTCTACCATAACATCAAATCCTGGAAACTGTAAATACAAGTTAAAGTGGTTGAAACAGTCAGAAGTCATAATTATTGTAACCAGTCAGAAATTACAGTAAGAAATGTTATCCAGTTATATGTAGCTGTCAAGACAAAACATTTCTTTCCTTGTCAGTTGATATTTTTTTTTCCCAACAAGACAGCAAAACTTTGGCAATTAGAGGTGTTGAAAGTAATATTCAAAGTTCAAGACACAGTCACAGCATTTTCTTTGCAGAAGGTGAACTGTACACCAAGGCTCAGAGGTTGTGAAAACTGTTTCCAAGTGGAAAAAAAGTGCAAACGTCCTGCACAGATAGCTTAAAAAGCTGCTGGTACAATCATTCACCAACAGAATCTTTGTTTTCTTTTTGCATAGTTCACACATCACTGGGAATGTGACAGGGTGTGCTATTTTTGGCAAGAGCAAGAAGAAGGTGATACTGGTGTGAGTTGCCATGTTGGGCATGCTGGATCCATGCAGAATTCAGGTAGAGGGCTGCTACCTGATGTTATTGGACACTGAATACTGATTTTGTTTTTGTTGAAGCAGTTCTGTAATAGCCAGCAGCTTCTTAAGAACGTGCTGTAGAAAAAGAATCAGTACAACAATACATTATTAGCAACTAGAAAAAAAGTCTTGATATGCATTTACAACAGCTCAAATTCCCTAGTTAATAAGACATTATTTGTTTCTAAAAAGAAACTTGGAAATAACACTGTGAAATTTAATCACCGTGTGCACTGATCTTGTTGCTTTCTGGTTTAACAAAGGCTAAGAAAGCATACTGCCAACATACTGTTGGATATTCAGACTGTTTTCTTTCTTTCCCCACTGCGCCAGAATTGTTTTTAACAATTGTTTGACCGTGAATCATTAAGGCATTGATGGAAAAAAAGGGAAAAAAAAATAAGGTTATTTTGCCAATAGAAGAAACCCATGAGGATAAGTTTGTCCTCTGATGTAGAAAGTTAATTTTTTGCATCACACAAACAGCACTGCATCTCTCATCATCTTGTATGTTAGATTTTTCTAAAGAGTTCCTTTGATTTTTTTTTTTAAACTTACAATATTCCATGAGAGGCTTTGTGAACGAAACAATATTCATTTATACAAGCACGTGAATTTAGTACTGAAAGCTTCTTCTGTGCTGCCATGCCAGCCCTGCCACTGTTCTTGTGCAGTTTATCAAGAGTATCATTGCAGTGATTCAAGTATGAAGTTCAGTTATCAAGTTCAATTGTGAGCTTGAACATGACGGATTTTTTTGAACTGCTGGATTGCCCTGGACTGCCCTGACCTGGACTAGATTTGAGCTGCTGCTATTAAAAAAGATCATTCCAATTCTTTGTGCTTTTTTTCCTGCCATTGTAATACAGTAAATAAAAACATGTTGTCAGGCTGTGCAAAATCATCACACAAGTTCTTTCCCCTAGTTTGGAAAAAAAAAGGTACTGCTGAAATGCACATTATTTGTGTAAAAAGGGCTCATGGGCTTCCAGAAGATACAGATTTATGAGTTTAAGTTAAGGCCTTGAAAATAATTTTTTTAAAAAGGTAATTACAAGAGAGTATTTAGAAACAGTGAAATTAATTATCAACCTCCAAAACATCATCTACTATAGCAGCTGCCCCTGCCCTGAAAAAAAAAAAAAAGGCTATTTCCTGCACAGCACCATGTACTAAACATTACTGTGCAGTAATGAGAAATCCTTACTTGAGGTTCACTGTAATTAATAGATCAAAAGGAGGTGTATTATTAAATACATTATCTCAAAAGTCTACGGAAGTAATTTGAAGTTGCTCCCCTTTATGTTTTATAAAGCTATTTGTTTCAAATTAGTCTGTGGGTTTAGCTATTTATAGTAGCCCTGCTTAACAGCTGGGCAGACTAATAATAGTTTATAGTGGGTTTGATAGAAAAGTTTGCCATATTTAGCAATGTACTAGAAAACTGGGAAGCAGAAATAAGGCAGCATTAGAAAGCTAAGGAAAGCAAATTCCATCCAGCTGAAAACAGTAAGACCAAAAACCTAGAGAACCTGTCATGAATTTTGTGGACTTAGTCTTCCTTTAGAACTTTTAAGAACTTCCACCATAACTGTGAAAAAACATCCTTGTTTTTATTTATATGAAGAAGCAGCTCACAACTATGGACTGTTTGGCCTTTATAACTAATAAACTCCTGGCAATAAGCACATTCTGAGATGTGCTTCAGGAGTACTAAATGCTCTTCAGGAGTACTAAAGAAGAATCCCAACACTGCAGAATAACTTGAGATACGCTATTTGTACCTCTGATTTGATGGTTAACCTTTCTAACTTACCTGCATTACACCTCTCTCATTACTAAGTGTCCGAAGTTCATCTGAGTGTGCCACGCAGATCTCATGCAGGGCTGCCAGATCACGAGATAGGTCAGTTCGAGAGTGCTCTGTAGTGTCTGGAAGCTCAGGGACATTCTTCAAGAAAAGCAGAGTAGATTTAAGGGTTGTGAATACTTGGATATACAGGGAATTACGCTATTGCTGAACAGATCTGTCAATTTAGTTATTTTACACTGCAAAGTAGTATGGCAGTGTTAAGTCTCCTGAGCTAATTCTTCTACCTATGTTATCTATTTCTTCCTCTCCAATAAAAGCAATTTCTATTCCTGCTAGAAAAGCTCAATAAAAAAATCTCATGTTGCTACACTACCACTAAGTGAAGAAAACTACTAAGGATAAAGACAGCCTCCCAGTAAACAAGGAGAGAATCCATCTATTAAGTGCCCTTTTCAATTCAAATAAAAAGAACATCAGCAACAAAAATAGAGCAGTCTGTAATATCAAGTTACAGACTTGTTAAAGCAATCATAAAACAGTAACACTGTAATTAAAACAGACTAATCCAACCATTATTCTCAAGCCAGTTGTTCTGACCTCATACAAAGTCATTTAAACGAAACTGATACATCATTTCATACAGAAACTTAAGTTGAATCAGAAGTGGGGACATACGGCAGAAAAGAATATTCATTTTTGAATCTTATCAAAACATTCTAGGACATCCTTTAAGTCACTTTAAATTAATCAGTTCAGGAGGGTAGGTACATATCTTCCATCTTCATTTATAAAATAAATATTTGTTTTAAAAGATCTCCTACCATGAGCTTCTAATTCCTGTTACAGCTGTTATACACAAAACAGAGTTCACAATAATACAGCAGTTCTTGTTCGAGACTGCAATATCTAGTGTGCAAGCACAGACGTCTGGAAATGGTAACTGAAATGCAGCGTATTTTTGGAAGAGAAATTTAAATCCTTGATAAAAGCTATGTAACAGATTATATACAGGATTTTTTTAGTTTAAGATACGTTTTTAAAGGTTTGGCCAAAGTTTATAATCCTTACGTAGATATTTTAGCTTCTCACTTCTGTAGAGGTGCTAAATGAATAAAATCTAATGACATTTGATGGTTTTAGTTTTGTGAGACAGGACACTGATCTGCAGGTTTTAAACATGCAGAAGACAAATTTTATTCAGTAACAAGCATTCAAAAGCACCTAGGAGCTGATATGTTTTTGAGCTAGTCCATAAAAAGGGTAAAGAAATTTTCATTTCATGGTGTGGCATGTAACTTCCAATGAAGAATTTTTTAATCACTTACCCCAAGTTCATCTAAGAACATGATCATGCGGTGTTTGTTGCTCTTGATGAACGGATTTACCCCTTCCATATATGGCTCCTAGTAATTTTTAAAAGTCTTCATTAAATTATTCATACACTCATTAAATGTATTGATAAAAATACATACTGGCATGCAATCTAAAATTTCTGAAATATGCATATTCTTCCAGCACTACCCTCAATAATCAAATACTACTTTCAAAAAGTACAATAAAAAATGATTGTAGATTTAAAATTTACAGTCTTGTAAAAAAGTGTGATTTTTAGCAATATTTTCTTGAGTGTAGATTGAGCACAGACTGCGTATGTGACAACAGAACACAGTGGAGGAGAGGGCACAGTGCAGTGCTGACTGCCTCTTGTGCCCACAGCACTCAGTCAGATTGAAACCCAAGTGCATTATACAATACGTACACTTGTGCCATTTGGCGAGTAAAATGCAGTGACTGCCAATAACATTCCAGCCTACCTACATGTATGTGAGCCTGTGAAGACATGTTTTTTTCCAAAACTAAGCAGACCTGGCAAACCAGAAGGTTGGATGTTCCTACTTTACACCAATCTCAGAGTTTAAGTCTTGACTGGTCTCAATTTGAAAATGAATTATTATATACAGAGGTGCCTGCTGAGTTTCCTGTGTTCTCATAGCATCAGTATGTAGAGGCATCACACATTAAGACAGGTTTCTAGATCACTTTCTCCCAAAACAGTATGGCCTCTCTTCCCAAGGTGGCTAGACTACTACTGCTCTACTTCAGGTCAATATCCTGTTCAGTTCCAAACAAAGACAGAAAACACTCCAAGAACTAGGCCTCCATGCTGATGAGGATGAACACGTCAGGTGACAAGCTCTGCATAAGGAAATGACAGCAACATAATTCTAGTTGTTCTGTGTGTGTGTGTGTGTGTGTGTGTGTGTGTATAATATTCACCTTAGCTCCAAATTCAACCAGATTTGCTAAGTTCTGCACAGACTTGGCGACCAGCGTCAGTGTTCTTGCAGCAGTAGGGGAAGGAGAATCTGATAGGAAT